GGCCTCTTCCTCCTCCTCAGCGCCGCCGGTGAGTCCCCGCGGCCCCCGCCCAGGGCCCCCCTGCACGCCTGGGGCTCCCCGAACACCCGGGGCCCTTTCCCGAACTCTGGGACACCTGAGATCCCTCACTGAGATCTGGGGGTGCCTTCCTGAATTCTGGGTCCCTTCCTGAACCCTGGATCCCCTTCCCTGAACACCTGAGATCCCCCCCAGAGATTTGGGGGCCCCTTCCCGAATCCTGGATCCCCTTCCCAAACACCTGAGATCCTTCACTGATATCTGGGGGTCCCTTCCCAAATTCTGGATCCCCTTCCCGAACACCTCAGATCCCTCACAGAGATTTGGGGGCCCCTTCCCCAACTCTGGGCCCCTTCCCCGGACACCTGGATCCCCTTCCCGAGCTCCTGGGACACCTGAGCTCCTGCCCAGGTGTTTGGGACGCCTCCAGGGACGGCTGGGTCCCCACCCCGGATGTCGGGGCTGCTGCCCACGCACCTGGATCCCTCCCAAATGCCCGCAGGAGCCTGTCCCGAACACCTGCAGCCCTCCTGGGTGCCCAAGTCCCCTTCTCCAGATCCTGGGGCCCCTCCTGAACACCTGGGACCCCTCCCCATGATGGGGCTCCAAGCCCACAGGTCTGGGGGGTCCCTGCTCGCTGTTCCATGGGTGGGGGGATGGAGGGGGTGACCCTGCTGACCCCCCCTGTGTCCCCCATCCGTGACAGCAGCGCTGGCCTCGGGGCATCTGCAGCAGGTGGTGCAGGAGAGCCTGGACCTGCGGCCCCCCAACATCAAACAAGGTGAGGGGAGGGACACCCAGGGGTGGGGGGACAAAGGGGGACACCCAGGGGTGAGGGGACAAAGAGACACCCAAGACTGGGGACAAGGGGATGCTCAGGGGTGGGGATTTGGATGGAGGGGACACGGGGGGTCAGGGCTGGGCGTGGAGGGACATGGGGACACGGTGATGGAGGAGAAGGGGGACTTGGATGGGGGAGACACGGGGTGGGAGCGACATGGCGACAGTGAGGGCTGGGCACAGGAGTGGCACCACAGAGCAGAGGGGGCACACAGGGATAAATGCCCACCGTGCCCACCCCGCTCCCTTTCGCAGTGCTGCAGCAGGAGCAGGTCCTGGACGTGCCCCCCGACATCCTGGTGGGGGGAGCCGTGGGCCCCTCCAGCGACCCCCCAGCCTGGGGCACGGCGCTGGACGGGTTCCCCCCGGCCTGGCCCATGGCCGCCACCGTCACCCGGCACTGCCGGGACCCCCCCACGCTGCCGCCGCCGCTGCCGCTGCCCCCGAACGCCTTCGCGCACCTCCGGCGCCAGGCGGCCGCGCTGGCCGCGCTCCGGCCCCGCCTGAACGATTGCTGCCGCCACCACAGCCCCGTGCCCTGCGCCCAGCGCGCCGTGAGTGCGGACACCGGGGAACGGGGACACCGGGGGGAACGGGGCCATCGAGGGAAACGGGGATAGTGTGGGGATGGGGGCACCGGGGGGAGAGGGGACACTGTGGGGATGGGAACACTGTGGGGATGGGGGACATGGTGGGGAAAAGGGACACTGGGGAAATGGGGGACACTGTGGGGATGGGGACACCGGGGGGAAAGGGGACAGTGTGGGGATGGGGACACTGCGGGGAACGGGGACACCGCGGGGATGGAGACAGTGTGGGGATGGGGACACTGAAGGGAGAGGGGACACTGTGCGGAAGGAGGAGACACCAGGGGGATGGGGACACTGTGGGGATGGGGACACCACAGGAATGGGGGGACACCGTAAGGGACACGGGGACACTGCTGGAGGGGAAGACGCTGGGGCAGGTGTAACGTGGGGACATCGCGGGGACAACGCCGGGAATGGGGACTGTGACACTGTGACAGGGAGGGACAGGGGTGACACCGAGGGGACTGTGCCCCGCAGTGGACGGACGTGCTGGACGGGTTCTGCACGGATGAGTTCGGGGTGAAGACGCGGCAGTTCCACTGCTGCCGCCGCCACGGGGCCGCGCGGCGCCGCTGCTTCGCCCAGGGGACCCCGGCCCCCACCCGGGACCCCCTCCCCACCTGGGACCCCAACACCGCCTGGGACCTGGTCAGCGAGCCCCCCTTTCCTCCCGGCGAGCCCACGGCCACCAACATGGGCAACATCTGCGGGCTGCGGGCGCTGCGCCCCGGCCCCCCCGGCCCCGGTGCCCGCTCCGGGCCCCGCGTCCGCCTGCGCGTCCGGTTGGAACGGGAGTACGGGCGGTGCTGCCGCAACGAGAGCCTGAGCTGCGCCCACAGCGCCGTGAGTGGGGACACGGGGCGGGGGGACACGGCTGGGACAGGGGGACAAGGATGGGACAGGGGGACAAGGATGGGAAGGAGGGACAAAGGTGGGAGGGAGGGTGGCGGTGCTGAAGGGCTCGGGGGGTCCCAGGTGTCTGGGAGGGTCTCAGGTGTCAAAGGATTGGGGGGGTGCAGGTATCTGGGAAAAGGTGCCAGGGGTTTGGGAAAAGGACAGAGTTGGGAAAGGGACTTAGGTGTTTGGGAAAAGGACCGACCAAGGTGTTCGGGAAATGGACCCAGGTGTTTGGGAATGAGATCCAGGTGTTTAGGAAAAGGACTCAGGTGTTTGGGAAAAGGACAGAGTTGGGAAAGGGACTCAGGTGTTTGGGAGGTGTCTGGGAAAAGAGACTCAGGTGTTTGGGCCGGCACTCCGGTATCCGGGGAGGGGCCCCGGTGTCCCGGCAATGACCCATGTGCCCGGAGCGTGACCCAGCCACTCAGAGGCCGGGAAGGCTCCCAGGTATCCGGGAAGGTGACAAACGTGTCAGGGAGGGGCCCCGGCATCCGGGGAGGGCACGGAAAATGTCCCGGGGCTGACCCGGCTGTTCAGGGCTCAGGGGTCCCAGTGTCCCCCCTGACCCCCAGCTCCTCCTCCGCAGTGGATGAAGGGGCTCAATCGCTTCTGCCGGGAGGAATCCGCGGTGAAGACGGGGCAGCACCGCTGCTGCCAGCGCGGGGGTCCCAAGGCCCGGGGTCGCTGCTTCGCCGCCGCTGCCCCCCACCCCGAATACGACCGGGAGCTGCACAACGTGAGCCTGGCCCGGCCCGGCCCGGCCCTGCTGCGCTCCCTGTGCGGCCCCACCCGGCTCTTCACACAGAGGTGCGTGAGCCCGAACAGCCGGGGGGACAGCACGGTCCTTCATTTTGGTGGGGACAGCACGGCCCGTCCTTTAGGGGGGGGGGACAACTCAGTCCCTCCTGTTATGGGAGGACAGCACGGTCCTTCCTTTTGGGGGGGACAGCACAATCCCTGCTTTTGTAGGGGTTCAGCACGGTCCATGCTTTTGGGGGGACAGCACAGTCCCTGCTGTTTGGGGGAACACCACAGTCCCTGCTTTTGGGGGGGGACAGCAGCGTCCCTCCTTTTCGGAGGGGGACAGCACAATCCCTGCTTTTAGGGGGACAGCACGGTCCCTGCTTTTGTAGGGGTTCAGCACAATCTCTGCTTTTGAGGGGACAGCACAGTCCCTCCTGTTAGGGGGGGACACCTCTTTTGGGGGGTCCCAGCTTTGCATCACCCCCATCATCCTCATCCCCGGCTCTGGGATCTCCATTGCTCGGGAACCCCTTTTTGGGGAGGGGACTCATCAGTCTCTTTCCCCCGCCTAAACCCCTCTTGGAGGTGCCCCCCGTGTTGACCCCGTGTCCGTGCCCGCAGGCGCCCGGTACCGGAGCTGCTGGGGGCCATGACGGCCGCGTGCTGCCCGCTGCCCGCCGAGGACCGCGGCGCCTGTGCCCGGGAGCAGGTGAGTGACCGAGGGAGGTCAGAGGGGCTGGGGAACCCCCCAAAACCGCCCTGACCCCCCATCCCCACTGCCCACAGCTGTCCCAGGGCATCGCCACGCTCTGTGCCACCCCCGGGGACGCCTGGAGGGACCCCCAGGGCTGCTGCTCGTGGGAGGAGCCCGAGCGGCGCCGCTGCTTTGATGACGCCTACCTGAGCCAGGTGACCCTGGGGGCCGCCCTGGCCCCCCCGCCCCACGGCTACGAGGAGTGAATCCCCCCCGGCAGGAGGGAACAATAAACAAAGATGCTGCGGTGTCACCTCTGAGTGTCCCTTTTTTCTGCCTTTGGGGACTTCCTTATGCCTCACTGTCCCCATTGTTTCAGGGGGGCCCCGTTCCGGGGTGTGGCGGGGCGTGGGTGGATATTGGGGTGTTTGCACTCCTGGGGTGTGTCAGGCCTGCTGTGATACCTGTGTTTGGTTTTGGGGTGTGCTGTGGTCACCACGCTCAGCCACGCGGGGCACACACGGCCCCGTGCCCCCCCAGGGGTCTCTGTGCACCTCTTCCCACAGTGGCATTGTCACTCGTGTCCCCCCACCATGGCCACAATCACAGGAGGTCCCCAAATTCCCCATGGTGTCCCCCCAGCCATGGCTGACAGTCCCTGGGGAAGGTTTGGGGGGCTCTGATGGGGCTGGGGGTGTCCTGTGGGTCCATCCATCCATCTGTCCTTCCCTGTGTCCTTCCTAGAACCACCCCCTCCCCAGATACTCCATCCATCCATCCATCCATCCATCCATCCATCCATCCATCCATCCCTCTGCCCCAAAATTCCCCAGCAGCTTCTTCTCACCCTGTTCTGCCTCACATGGGATTCCTTGCCCCTTTGGGAAAAGGAAGAATTTTTCTCATCCCTGAGGCTTTTTCCCAGCACAAAACAAACCAGTCCAAGCCTTATTCCCAATTTTAGTTGAAAAATAAAGTCAAGATCACTCTCAGCAGCCTCCACTGGGATACAGGGTGGAGGGAGAGGGATTTTTGTTCTCCATTGGGAATATTCCACCTCCACCCCAGTGCTCCTGAGGCAGAGGCTGGTGTGGAACCTGGTTCCTGAAGCATGTCTGGGTGCATTGGCCTCCACGGATCATGGGAAGGCAGAAGTGTGGAAAACAGAGCTGAGGGGACTCATCCTCCATTCCCTGCAGGTGAATTTCCCCTTCCCAGGGGAAATTTCTCACACAGAGACAAACAAAGAATTCCCCCCGGGAGCACCGTCACCTTTGGGGCTGGGAGGGAAGGGGCCAAGCTGGAGGCAGGGCAGTGGCTAGGGAAGGGCTGGGTGGGGTTGTCACATCTTGGGGAAGCTGGCCAGGTTGGCCACACCGCAGGCATTGTTCATGTTGCGGGCCAGGAGGACGTAGCCCTTGTTGCCCCATTCCTCGCCCCAGCTGCAGGGTGGAAAAGCAAAACTTGAGCCTCTGGAAGATCCCAAACTACCTGCAATTCCCAAACCATCCGAAACCCTGTACCTGTTCTTGATGATCCAGTGCTTGGTGCCTTTCTGTGCCCCGTAGCCCACGGCCAGCACGGCGTGGTTGATGTTCTCCGCGTTGCAGCTCTCGTCGTAGTACACGCCTTGGGGACACAGCCGGTGTCACCACGAGTGCTCAGCTCCCTGAGCAGCCCCCTGAGCTCCCCCCAGCCCCTCACCTCGGCTGTAGAACTGGAAGGAGGGCAGGCTGGCATCGATGCCCACGGAGATGGGCCCAATCCTGGCCACCGCTCTCTTCAAAGCCTTCTCGTTGCCCTCGGGGATCTCGCGGTAGCCGCGGCACTTGGCCGCCTTCCCGGTGGGGCTGTACATGCAGCTCTCGTCCTGGGAGGGGCAGGAAGGGCAGGTGAGGTGGGGATGGGGGGGATGCAGGGGGATTTGGGGCTGGCACCCCTCACACCTGGCCGATGTAGGGGTAGGAGTCCTCGGAGTCGATGCCGCGGTTCTGGTGGACGTACTCGAAGGCGTTGGTCATGTAGCCGCCGCCGCAGCCGTTGTTGTTGGCCACGCAGTCCACCAGGTTCTGGGGGCTGAGGGGCAGCAGCTTGCCTGTTTTCCTCTTCAGCTGCCCCTCCAGGGCACCCACCGAGCTGAAAGCCCAGCACGAGCCGCACTGACCCTGTGGGGACACAATGGGTGACAGCAGGGTGACACACTGGGGTGGCACTGAGGTGACACTGAGGGCACACCCATCTCACCTGGTTCTTCACAGGGGTCACGTAGCCTTTCTTGCGCCAGTCCATGGCAGCTGGGGCTCTCTCACTCCAGTCAGGGACAAAGAGGGTCTCGTTGTGGCGTTGGTGACCTCGGGGCACCTTCAGCCCTGTCATTGTCCTCACCACCTCCTCGCTGGTCTGGGGAAGGAACCCCGGTGGGTGGGAGCACCCAGAGGTGCTCAGCCCCCCCTCTGTCACCCGCCAGGGACACCCACCATGTCACCCAGGTGGTTCATGGCCAGCTCGAAGGTGTGGACGCCCAGGGAGTGCTCCAGGTTGTGGGTGTTGATGTACTTGAGGTTCTTCTCCCAAATCAGCCTCCGCGTCACCTCGTCCGCCTGCGCGGGGGGAGATGGTGCTGGGACAGGGGTCCTGCTTGTGCCCCCCACCCTGGGGACATCTCCCACCCTGGGGACATCTCCCACCCTGGGGATGTCCCTGGGGGTGTCCCAAACCCCATTCCCCCCATACCTGGCCATTGTATTGCTTGTGGTGTTTTTTTTTCCACAGCTCCCACTGCGCGTCCAGTTCCTGCTCTGGGTGCAGCTGGGCCGGAGCTGCAGGGACCAGCAGGGCCAGCAGCACGGGCCACCACATCCTGGGGACAGCCTGGGGACTGGGGAGGGGACACAGAGTGAGCATGGGGGGCTGGGGGGGGCAGGACACCCTGTACCCCCTGATTTGGGTCTGGGACCCCTTCCTCCCTCGATTTGGGGCCAGGACCTCCTGCACAACCTGATTTGGGGCTGGACCCTCCTGGCTGGGGATTGGGACCCCTTCCTCCCTCGATTTGGGGTTGGGACCCCCTGCACACCCTGATTTGGGGTTGGGATCCCCTCTACACACTGATTTGGGTCTGGGACCCCCTGATTTGGGTCTGGGACCCTTTCCTCCCTCCATTTGGGGCCGGGACACCCCCGCGGGCAGGGCTGGCCCGGCGCCGGCATCACATGAGCCGGCACAGCTGGTTCCCGTTACCGCTCCAGCTCGTTCAGCAGCCCCAAGCTGGGAGGGGGAGTTTTGGGATGCAGAGGATGCAGGGGGGATATCCCAGCCCTCCTGCCCCTTCCTGCTTCACCCACCGCCCCCCAGCCCCCCGTGATGGAGCAGGACCCGCGACACCTCCCCGAGCTGGGAACCCCAGATCCCCTCGATGTACCGTGCCTCAGTTTCCCTTTTTGTCCCCCATTCCCACTGGGATCCGTTTCCCTGGGATAAAACCCACCCAGCGCCCCCCGGGGGACCCCTCCCCGCCGCTTACCGAGCACGGAGCCGTCGGTGGCAGCGCCGGGACGGGGCCTGCGGGAGCCGCGGCCGCTGCGCTTTTTATGCTCCCGGATTGAGGAAGTTTGGAGGCAGCCGGAAAATTTTGGCAAGCGTCGGGTTTGGATGGGCTGGAGGGAAGGAGGGGTCGGGGAGGGGGACGAGGGGGCTGCCCCGGCTCCACGTGATGCTGCGGGACCGGCTGAGTCAGCACCGGCACCGGCGCGGGGCTGCTGGCGGCTCCTGCCCGGGACATCCTCCGGTTCCCGGGACGTGCTCCTGTCCCTGGATCTTCTTCTGTCCGTCCCTGGGATGTCCTCTTGTCCCTGCGACCTTCTCCTGTCCCTGGGATGTCCCCCCATCCCAGCATCCTGCCCTGGGGACATCTTCCTGTCCCTGGGATGTCCTCTTGTCCCCGGGACCTTCTCCTGTCCCTGGGATGTCCTCCTGTTCCTGGGACCTTCTCCTGTCCATCCCTGGGATGTCCTCCTGTCCCTGGGACATTCTCCTGTCCCTGGAATGTCCTCCTGTTCCTGGGACCTTCTCCTGTCCATCCCTGGGATGTCCTCCTGTCCCTGGGACATTCTCCTGTCCCTGGGATGTCCCCCTATCCCAGCACCCTGCCCTCGGGACACCCTCCTGTCCCAAGAATTTGGCCCCAGGGACACCCTCTTGTCCTGGCATCCCAATTTTAGGATGTCCTGCTGCCTTGGGGACATTCTCTTGTCCTGCCATCCCACCTTGGGGACACTCTCTTGTCCCAGAACCCCACCCTGGGGACATTCTCTTGTTCCCACCTCCCACCCCAGGGATATTCTGCTGCCCGGGGGACACTTGTCTGGGACTCTTCTCCCAGAATCCCGCCTTGGGGATGTCCTGCTGCCTTGGGGACATTCTCCTGTTCTGCCATCCCACCCTGGGGACATTCTCTTGTCCTGCCATCCCATCCTGCTGCCCCGGGGGGCACCCACCATGTCCCCAAGCCCTCCCCGTGCCAAATCAGACGGGGTTGAGCACCCACTTCCCTCAGGAGCAGCCGGACACGGCAGCTTGGGGACATCCTGTGACAGCAGGCACGGAGGACAGGACCCCCCCCTCTGTCCCCAGGTGTCCCCAAGCCGGGGCTGCCCCCCCGTGCCCAGTTTGGGGGTCCCTGGCAGGGGGAGGAGCTTCCTGCAGTGATTGTCACCTCATCACGTGGCACCAGAGCCATCCCAGACATGTCACACTGGGGACGACGACATCATCATCATCACTGTCACCGTCACCCTCCAGCCATGGGAACAAGGACAGACCCAGGAGGGGACGGGGGGGATGGAGCAGCACCAAGGTGAGGATGGGTCACTGTCACCCCTTCCCCTTCCTCACGGGGGTCCCCAAGAGAGGGGCCACCCCCCTGTGACCTCTGTGGGGACACAGAGAGGGGACACAGAGGGGGCTGAGTCACCCCGGGGCTCCAGGGCACAATCATCCCCTGGAGCACGAGGCCCTGACGTGGCACTGAGTGACCGGGAACTGGGGACAAACGGGGACAAACAGGGACAAATGGGGACAAACAGGGGCGTAGGAGGGGTTTGGGGGGGGGCAAAATGTGAGGAGGAGGTTTAGGGGCGGGGGAAATGGGGGACAAAACAAGGAGGGAACAGGAGTTGGGGGGCCAAAACAGGGAGGGGATGGGGATTTAGGGACATTCCTCCATGAAAGAGGCAGAAATGAGACAAAGGCTGGAAAAAGGGAAAAATCTCTTGATGGAAAATCTCTGCTGCCCAGAATCCACCTGGGGCTGGGACACACCTGAGGGGGTTCAGCTCCTGCTGCCCCAGGACATGGGGGATAAAATTCCACCCCAGGACAAACAGTGGAGTTCCCAAAGAGGGGGGAAAGGGCCCAGCCTGTCCCCTGTCCCCCCAAACCCCTGGGAACCCTCTCAGCCTCTCCCCATCCTCCTTCCCAACAGATTTGGCTGCTCCAGCTCCCAGGATCTGAAAAATTTGGGGGGATACGGCCACAGGACCTGGAAGGGCTCAGGGAAATGGGAATTTTCATCCTCCTGCTTGAAAAACTGAAGGGCCCAGGATGTGATGGGATGCTGGAGAGGTTATTGCTGGGAACACACTCCCAGCATGTCTTCAAGTGGGATGTTCCCATTTATCCAGAAATTTAAAATAAAATTTAAAAAAAAAACCAAACCAAAAAAACAATTAAAACAAAACCTTCAAGTCTTAATTTTCCAGAGGGAAAAGGAGAGGGAAAAATAAAGGTTCCTGCTCCACTTACAAGAGGAATCTCTCTGGGTTGGTGACACAAAGGTTTCAGATTTTAGTCAGGAATGACAGCTCTGGAATCAGCTCTTGGAAAAAGGGGGGGATCTCCCCATTCTTGACCTCAACCAGCAGAGACAACACTCACAACCAGCCTGGGGGTTCCAGAGCCCCCCAACATGCAGGGAAAAGGGGGGAACACCCACATTCCATTCAAAACAAAACCAGGAACACTTGGGATCCTTCCCCAGCTGCTGTTGTGCCAAATTTCCTTCCAAGTCCAACTCTGAAATTCATTTTCCTGTTGGAATTGAAGCAAGAGGGAATCAAATGGCTCTTCCAGCCCCTGAGGAGAGCAGGGTTGGCCACAAGTTGGGTTTTTTTTTTTTTTTTCCATGGAAAAAGCCAGAAGATTCCAAGTCAATGTTTAAAAATTAAAAATTTATATATATATATATATTTATATATATAAAAAAATTCATTCTGTTCCCTACTTTTCCAGCTCTCCTCTCACTCTTTGTCATTTGGCAACAGGATCATCCCATGGCAGGAATTCTTCTTTAAGGAGGTGAGTGAGCAAATGTAGTGAAATTACACAGTTCCTCAGCAATTCCCTGGAAAATCTCTCAAATCCAGGGATTCTCCTCCATCCAGCTCCAAAACGAGGACAAGGAACTCACCTACATGGGATAAAATTCCATGGAGCAGGTTTTATCCCAAAATAAACCTGTTGGAACATCAAATTGTGGCAGCACAGAAACCATCAGCTGGAAAATGGATTCATCCAGAAGAAAGCTACATGGGTAATATTTTTATGGCTTGTTAATTATCCCAGGGTAACGAGGGGGGGTCATGGGTCACACTGATTTCATTGCACAGTTCACAGGAGAGAGAAGATTCCAGAAAAACACAGGAATCTCCACGTGGAGCACCCTGGACTGGAGACGCTGTAACAACCCTCCAAAAACAGCCAAAGTTCCTCCAAAAAGGAGGGAAACACTGGCTTGGGACACGGATTCTTACTCAAGCATCCTCCAGGATTGTGTTTACAGGGATAACACTTGGAAGAGTTCCTTCCAGTACTGAAAAATTCCAATAGTTTCGTGTCTTATAGAAAAAAGTCACGGCAGAGAATGAAATAAAAACAGTCAAAAGCCACCTTAAAAAGTCTGGAAGGGCTGTCTGTGATCCAGACAGGAATCCCTTCCCAAAAAAAAATCCACTTGGGAGCAGCTCTGGGGCCTTCAGCCTCGTGGCACTCAGGTCCTGAAGCTTCCAGAACAATCCCACATGGAGGAGGTGCCCAAACCACCTCGTCCTCCAAGGCCATCCCTCCTCGGAGCTCTGCTTCCAGAAGGTGGGAAGTGTTCACACAGTTCCTTGAGAAAAAGACTCTGCTGTTTTTTTCCTTTACATGTGGATACTGTAGAGAGCTTTGTGTTGTTTCCCCTAAGGCTTGTTTTATTCAGAAAAAGAAGGGAATATGTTCAACTCTGGGAATTCTTCGTTGTTGTAGTTGGGGCCTTGGTCCCCCAACATGGTCAGCATGTCCTGTGAGGATACAAGGAGAGGGTTTAGGACCCAGACTGGAATATCAAGGGAGGTTTAGGTTGGAAATTAGGGGGAAAGGCTGGACTCCATCCCAGAGGCTTTTCCAACCTCAACAATTCCATGGCTCCATGATCATGTGGGTAATTTAATCATGGGTTTGCTGGAATGGATACTGTGGACTAAACTGGTTCCTTTCCCAAGGAAACACAGGGTCTGCAGGGGAAATTTAAGGAGAGCAGCAAATTGAAGCTATAATCACCAACTGCTGGGAAAGCTGGGGTGAGAGGATTATGAATTCTCAGGAATTATTTTAATTTCATTGGACTGTAGCTTTTCTTTTTTTTTAATTAGAAGGGTTAATCCAACTAGAATTTCACACTGATCCTGCAACAGATCAGACACAAAGACACAAAGCCAGTCCTGCCCTCTCCACTTCCAGCTCCATCAAGTTATCCAGGAGTTTGGGACCTCCCCAGCTGATTTGAACCAGAGGGACAAGCTCCGGCTGCTTCAAGACCAGTGGATCCCACCAGATTGGGAGGTTAAAAAGCTCCATCTTACTGGGAAGACCTCGGGCTGGCTGGGCTGGGGCTGCTGCACGTGCTGCTCCCCGGATGCTGGGCCGTGGTGCTGTCCCTGCCACTGTGGCCACATTCCCACGGCGTCGGCGGCGCGGGGCTGGAACGGGGCCGGGCTCTGGGCTGCCTCTGTGGCTGCTGGACAGAGAACACAGGCAGTGAATCATCCCTGCTCTGGGAATGGGGCTGCTCCAGTGCTCTAAAGGGATTGGGAAGGGCAGGGCTCTGTGTGGTGCTGCTGTTGCTGGTGGTGACAGGGCAGGAATTCCTGCCACAGGAATTCAGGTGTTTGCCATGGGATAGAACAAAGAGATTCCCAGAGGGGTTTTTTTCCTCACAGTCAGCCTTAAAATGGCTCAAAATTCATCTGCTGGGATGACCCCAATTATCCCAAGGGGGGGAGGGATCCACAAGGACCCCTGAGTCCAACTGTGTGGTTGGAGGATGACTGAAGGTTATCTCTGCTCCCCACATTCAGGCACTCCCAAAATCCACCAAAAAATGATGGAGAGCACATCCCACCACAGCTGGATGCTCCCAGGGGTGTTGTGCCCCCCAGGCCCCACTCACTGAAGCCTGTGCCACGGCTGGCCAGGGCTGGGTACGGCGCCGTGGTGGGAGACGCCGTCGATCCCGGCGCTGCCATGGAGCTGAAGGAGGACGGCGTGCCCTGGAATGTCCCCATGCCAAAGGAAGGAGGTCGTGTCTTCACCGTCTGAGATGCCACTTGCTGTAAGAGAGGAGAAACACAGCAGAGGAAGAGGAGGCACGGCTTCACCCCGACCCTCAGCTCAGGGAGGAGTTGCTGGATTAGCCCCGCAGGAGGAAGCGGC